TGCTGAGGCTGGCTTTCAACTCATGATCCTCCTGCCTCAGCCTCCTGAGCCACTGGGATTACAGGCATGCATTACTGTGCCCCACTCAAAGCCTAGATTTTAATTGCCTGCATAACATCAATTTAAATGCTTTATAGGAACTAAGGCAAATAGAAAACTAAATCCCTTGACTTCCCATTAGCCATGCTTCTCATCTTGATTAATCCATTTTTGTCACCAGCCCTGGAACTGCATTACAACAGCTATAAACCATTGGATCATTAACTTATTTCTCATAATATGTCCCTTTTCATAATGTCAGTTCCCATGCCACCTGCTAATAAGGTCTTCATACATGGCTGACATTCCTTTTGGATAGGTAGCAGAAAACAACTCAGCCATACCCACTGTGGAGAACTCATTCTTCTCTGTCATTCTCAGCTGCAGTGGAGATGCAGGGCATTCTGTAAAATTTTAAAACGTCTTCTCTCTCCACACTGAAACGTCTCTGTCAGTCTCCTCTCCACCTGCTCAAAATGACAGGGCAGCAGAGTCAGCAAATACACTACAGACAGAAATCCAACTGCGCATCTCCCTCATAGAGCACCCTGCAGAGGAGCAAAGACAACAACCACTCTCCTGCTAGGCCAGTGACTTGTGGTGTCTCTCTCCAGACCCTGCTCCAGATTTCCACTTATATGGAATTGGTGAGAAAACAGAAGGTAGAGAGAATGGTTGAGGGCAATAGACCTCTTTAGTTGGTCGTTGAAAATATTATTCTTTAATTTCACACACAATACAATTCAGTTTTTCAGGTAGTGTATGGTCTGATTAGCTTTGACCAATTATCACCATTACCACACTGCACAGAAAATTCCATCGCCTCCAAAACTCCTCTGTGTTTTCCTTTCATATTCAAACCTGCCTCCACTGAATTGCTAGCAACTACTAATTTGTTCTCGGATCCTATAGTTTTGTCTACTTCAGAATGACATAGAAATAGGATTGTATGCTGTCTTTTGAGACAGGTTTTCTACAACTATCAGAATATGTTTAAGGTTCATCTCAATTATTGCTTCCATCAATAGTTTGTTCTTTTCTATTGCTGGGTGGTACTCTATTTTATGTTTCTGAGACAGTTTGCTTGTCCATTCACTAGCTGAAAGACATTTGAGTTTCTAATATTGGGCAACTAGGAATTAAACTGATATGATCATGATTATAAGCCTTGGGAGAAAACACATATAACCGTAAATCTGGATAATCTATTACTAAGTTATATGGCAAGTAGAAATATAACTTCACAAATGGAGGGGTTTGCTTAGGTATTTTCATATGTGCACATAGAAAAATCATGTGAGATTCATTTTACTGTCTTTCTTATTCCCATCTCCCCTCCCTCCCGAAAGGGGAGATTCAGTAGATTGTCTAATCTACTGAACTTCTTCTCACCCACAAGAATGAGGTCCTAATTAGAATAAGATATATCCTATGCTTGTATAATTTTATCAAAATGGAGTCTACTGTCATGTATAATTAAGAAGAATCAATTAAAAAAATTTTTAAAAAATGTTAATCAGATCTGAAAAATTTCTGCACAGCATATCTAAACTACTGTTTGATTAAAACCTTGGTGCAATTGATGCATAAAATTAACCATCACAGAGGGAAAAACAGAATATAATAACCTATGAATGTTATATTTGAAATTTTATCAAGTTCCCTGAAAAAGAATGGGTAATGCCTAGTAGGGTAACCAAGTTGAGGAACATTAAAAAGGTCAAAGAAGTCCTCCATGAGGGACTACTACTTGATGTGAGACAAAGACTGAGAAACCAGGTCAGCCAGTTGCTAAGAGGTATCAGAAATATGGTTGGAAATCAGAGAGGATATTTACATGCCGTTGAGGCTTTTATATGGCCATGGTAAGAAATTATGGTTTCAAGTGCAAAAGGAAATGTAATAGATCACATTTATGTGGAGGAGTGACATTATCTATCTATCTATCTATCTATCTATCTATATATATATATATATATACACACACACACACACACACATATATATACATATATATATATTCATATATATTTTTTAAGATCTTTTTTGGTTTTCAATGGACCTCTATTTAATTTATATGTGGTGCTGAGGATCAAACCCAGTACCTCACACATGTTAGGAAAGTGTTCTACCACTCTGCCACCACCCCAGCCCATATATATAAATATATTATATATATATATTTTTTTTTTTAAGTGGTGGGGTCTCACTTTTTTCCCCATGCTGGCCCCAAACTCCATACAACAGCTGAACTCAAGCAATGTTTTTGCCTCAACATCCCAAGCAGCTGCAACTACAGTCAGGAGCCATTCTGCCCAACTATGATTTATGCTTTTAAAAGGTTACTTTTTAAAAATTTATTTATTTTAATTAGGTATATATGACAGCAGAATGAATTTCAATTCATTGTACACAACTGCAACACAACTTTTTACAAAAGTTTACTTTTTCTGCTGTGTAGAATTATGGGTTGTTAAATTGGAGACTGAGAAGCAATTTAAGAATACAGGTGGATGGGGTACGGTACCCAGAAGCAGACCAGTGTATGCCTTGTTTTATACCCAAGGGACTTAAAATCAGCATACTATAGGATGCAGCCACATCAATGTTTATAGCAGCTCAGTTCACAATAGCTAGACTATGGAACCAACCTAGGAGTCCCTCAATAGATGAATGGATTAAGAAAATATAGTATATATACTAAATGAAATATTACTCAGTTTTAAAGAAGAGTGAAATTATGGCATTTGCCAATAAATGATTTGAGTTGGAGAATATCATGCTAAGCAAAATAAGCCAAGCTCATAAAACCAAAGACCAAATGTTTTCTCTAATATGCGGAAGCTAATTCACAATAAGGTGGGGGAAACTAGGGAAGAATA